TGTGGCGTGCAGCATGGAAGTACATGCAACCCTGAATGACTAGCCAGTACCAAAGGAGGTGTGGTCGCTTCGCGGCAAGCTGAAAAGTGCTCTGGTTGCAGCGCTTTGGGTTCCAAACCTTTTCTGTGCTCTGCATTTGATCATTCGCTTTCCAATATGTGAGAGCATTCCATTTCAAGTGGTTATTCACTAACTTTTTTGGGTATTTCGTTATATCGAAGCATGATGTTTGTAAGCATAATTTCGGTTGTCAGAATTTAAGCGTACAAGCTCGTCCATGTTGAAAATTTACGCGCAACTGAGAAGGTCATATTTTGCGATCCTTAACGGAGTTCTTTGTTTTTTTACGCCATGGTGCTCCATTTACCACTACCACTTCCAGTCCGAATCCTTCGAAGTCCCATCGTAATTGCTGCATCTGAATGTTTTCTTGAGTACTCTCCATTTCCCGTTCATCGAGTTTTTTCTTCGAGCATTTTCTTCTTCATATATATTATCGTCCTTGTCTTTATTTTGAAAGAATTCGATTTCAGACCGTATTACCTCTTCTAAAAAGCTATCTTGATACGGCTATCACAAGCACCTCAGTTGAATTCATATATCTCGCTTTACTTCTCAAGGATAGGTTTCCTGTGAGTGTCCCTTCCGAACGGATTTGCATTTTTTAAAACTTTGTCATTCAATAACAATTTGACCAGTACATATTGCAGTCATATGTTTCGGATTGTGTAAGCTTTGTTCAAAAAGATGGCTCCTGCAAATTCACCGCAAATGATCTTACATTCTTGTTGCTGGTTGTGAAGGTAAACATATTTGATAGCACAATGGAATTCTTTTTTATTCAATGTCGTTCCTAGAAGTGTGACAGTGCAGCATTGTCACCATTGCTGAAGGCGCTTCTGGTCTCTTCTCGTGCTTCTGGACAATTTAGTGATGTCTACAGCAGTGAGTTTCTTTTCATTCTCATTTAGAATCCCATTTAAACTTTGGGAACAACATTCATCTCAGCAATCGACTATGAATTGATTTTGGGTGGTGCGGGTAAACACCAATCTGCAGAAAAACTCACGAGTCTCACCACGAAATAATATTTTAGGTTTAAGTTTCCTAGCTTGGGTATACTCTTGTTGAAACACTGCATGCGATGTTCTCGTTCTTTGAACTAGTAGTCTGAAGCTTTTTGCTCCTGAATCCTAGCTTCGAGGCAGAACACAGTGTTCTTGTTTGCGTTTGAAGGAGGATCTGTGTAATCGTTGGATTAAATCCTCGCTGAATCAATTTTCTCTCTTTCCAGATGTGGTTGAGAAGTGGTGCACTTCAGGCGATGAGTCAAAAGTGCTTGAGAGGATCTTTGATACTGCCAAATTAACGCTTTCTTCAGGAGATGTATCCCATAAAGACGTGATTAATTTGTTTCATTATAACTTGTGTTTTAGAAAATTGTCTTAAAATCTTTATTGAAGAATTATTTCAGGTGCTGGCAGTCTTTTCGCCGTGCTTGCTCAAGAGAATCGTACAAATAGCTCGTGGAAAGCAGACCCCTCAGCAACGGATTTTACGTGGGAAGGTGACTGAATTCTTTTCTCAAATGTGTATCAAGCTTTGTGCACTCATGATCGTCTGTCGACGGCTTCATAGCGATATGCTTTGCAGTATGAGATTCTAATGCTCTTGTAAAGTCACAGTTTAGAGGAGGTCATATGTTTCTATAGCTGCAGGAAGCGATTACTACGCTCACAGTGTGATTTTATTTATTACTATTTTGAGAACGCGAACAGAGTTCGCGCGATTATGCCAAGATGATCAGTTATTTTTCTTATTTTTCTTGTATTTTAACACCTCGGCTGTGAATACTCGGTCTGGTTCCGAACCCCAACGCATGCACCGCACATGCTTAGCACAAGACAAATCAGCATTTTCAATTTTATTTGATCACGGTGTGCGAGGGCAATCTCAGTACGTGCCTCGCCACTGTCTTTTGTCCAGTTTTCCTTCGCTGATCCCTGTCATTTTTCTTTCACCCTTTAAATAACCTGGGAATGAATCCGTTGTAGGTTCTCTATCTTGCCTCCACACTTTGCTACATTGCAGTCTGTTATGAAGACTTAACCTCTCTTCTCTCGCTTGTTTTTATCCGCCTTTTTTATCGGCCTTTTGGCTGTCTCTTAAATGTGATAAGTGTTGTATATGGCACCTGCTCGACTACTACAGTGCCCGCTTTGCTCTTACATTGAATAAAGTGTCCTGCCTTCGACCTTCAGTAGTTCAATCAAATTTTTCTTGCTTCTCCAACGTCGAAGATGAGAATAGGGAAGCTTTATAGTGAGTTGTACCTAGTTGAGGGCATGCTCGGCCTTTTAAGGCTGGTGTCAGAGTCCGCGATCCGTCGCAGGTTTCGCTGATTTTGCGATTTGCGCGATTTGCGCGATTCACGCGATTCACGCGACGGGTCACGGAAATCACAAGTGCCCGATCAATACTGCAAGGTGTTCTCCAATCCTGCCGCCACTTCTGCTTGATAGTGATGGCTGAATGACGACTGCTCATGATTCAGTTTTTAAGTATTCAAATGAAGCACTTGCAATTTTTGCGATCCGTCCCAGGTGTTGCGCAAATCGCTAAAAATCAGCGAAAGTTGCGACGGATTGCGGACTTTGACACCAGCCTTAAGCTGTAATTTATCTCCTTCAGGCATGCCTAAAACACTTGAAACATCGCTCACCCTACTTTTCCTGGTACCTGGGAGGTTTAGAACTGAGATCTAAATTTTGTAACAAAACGCCTATTTGGAGAACGCGGTGCTCACGGCTGGTTTTTATCCTTCATTTCATCCATCAACATGTTTCTCAACTATAGCCATTTTTCCGGATCTTTAGGCTAATCTGTGTCCTATTTTCCACTGTAGCGCCGCCCATTGCGATATACACTGTTCCTCTAATGCTACTCCGTCAAGAGTGTTCAATACAGCTGCAGGTGGAAATATCATGGCAAGGATCAGTGTATGCTCCACCCAACGTGGGCGGTTCTCTGCCCATCTCATGCATGCTGTGTACATCCTGGCTCATGCTCCACTCATCTCTAAATCAACCCGACCGTTCTAGGTGGTTACAAATAATTCATACAGTAAATCTATGGTATCCGGCTTTGGACGCGTAACTTCGAACCATCCTAACGGTACTAAAATCAGTCATTTTGTTCAAAGTAGCGATCATTACATTCTGAGTTCTCCTGCCAATCTTTTCTAAACAACTATGTCTCTATCTGGGAGTGCGTCTTTTTCTAAAAAAGGGAAATAGCTCCTGGGGAACTCGGACACTTTTCTTGTGACCGTTTCGCAATCCTGCGACAAAGATAAGAACTCCATGGCTCAGAGGGGAGTGTTACATTTCCAGGGACTATGTATAGGTGGGTAAGTCACTCATTATGTGGCAAAAATCCGAGTATGGTGGGTTGTAGGCCATGCCCTTTTTAAAAGAGAAAAAATGCATCTTACGATTCTCCTCCTGTAACAGCGGCTTTAGATAAGTAAATTTTTGTGATCTAC